CTTTCCTTTTTGTAAAATGGGCCCAATAATGTTGACCTCCTCAGAAAGGGGTAATGACTGGAACAGAACTAAAGGATGATATCTTCTAAATATTGCAGAGGAGTTCATGACTATTAATAAGCATCTGCCCTGGGGGAGTGTTGCTCCCCATCATGGAAAGGCAGAAGTAGGTTGGAGAGTTCCTAAGGTTGCCGTTCCATCACCATGACAACTCCTCTTAAGCCCATCTCCTTTCTTTCCACAATAACTACCCCAGAAAATACTCTGCTGACAAACAGGGAAGTCTCAATGGTCATGGAGAGAATGAGGGAATATGGATAGTGAGGAGAGCTAGCAGAGGGTTCCACCGCAGTCTTTAGAAGACACCACCTTTCTTCATCAGTCTGTGTCTACTTGTGTGTCCTCCCACACGCCCAGGCAGCGAGTGCAAATATGTCTTGTTACACGATCCATCCTGTGTTGCCCAATAAATAACAGACACAATCTAAGTTGCCAAGAGCAGCTTATCAGAGGCTAATCTTTACATCTGGATCCAAGGTCCAGAAATACCAATCCAATTAGGTAGAAGGTAAAAGAGCCCTGGACACAATTCCCTTTACCTGTGCTGCTCCTTCGAGATGCATGCATGAACATGCACACAGACAGTCTTCCTTCTGAGAGGCATCTTGAACAGTCTTAGACTGAGCTCATGCTATCAATCGACCTTTTGCAAAACCATGGACTCTTGAGCTACTTGAGGATTGACCAAGATCAGGAACCATCCTGATGTTTTCTTAATAAAAGCAATGAGGCCAAAGCTGATAAAACTATAATGCTCTGATATTCCCCTTGCTTATCCTCCTCCCCTTCCTCCTCTGGAAAAGTAAACAAGTGTTCTTATTTGTTCCCCTCTTCCCCTTTGCTTTTCGAGGCCTGCATTTCTAAAGTTTGCTCTTCCTGATTAATGAGGAAACAAAGAGATCACCTTTTATCCTAACTCAGAGAAAGATAGGCATGCCCTGTCTTCATGTCAGTAGAATGACCTTCCCTTCCTTCTTTCCTTCCTCTCTCTTGCGGGGGGGAGGGGGCGGGTGGGATGGAGTGACAGTGGAATTGGTACTTCACAAAGCTTCATTCTCCAGTTTTTTCCTCTTGCCTCCCTACCCCATCCAGCCTCCTGAGGCAGAAGAATCAGTGCAACATCCTTACAAAGTCCCTCTGACTCAGAAATCTACACCTCTCTGCCAGGGAGGCTGTTTCTACACAAGAATCAGAGCTGGGAGTGGTCCAGGGATGGCTGGCCTAGTAGGCATCAGCTTGTGATCTAATGAATATGTGAAACACCATAAATTCGACCACACTTGGAGATCCATGATGGTCATTAACATATTAAAGGCTTTGAAACATCCTACTGCAAAGACGTGTGTTTCCCAATCTTTCTTGCTCACGGAATCCTTTTTGGCTTCTAACACCTCTTAATGTTCTGAATAAGTGTGTTCCACAGACCACATATTGTAAAATGCTGACTTAATCCAATACTTTCATTTTCTCATGGGAAAAGTAAGAAACAGAGAGGGGTATTAACTCACTTAATCTCCTACGTGCATGGCAATATGAAACAGTACATAAGAAGCAGAGCAAGCTCTGGACTGGGAGCCCGGGATGTCTGGGTCAAATCTTCTCCTTGCCATTCTCTAGCTGTGTGGCTTGGGCCAGCACCTCTCCTTTCTAGAGTTATTTTCATTCTCAGTAAAAAAAGATTTTTTTTTTCTCCCTAGGATTTCTAAGGATCTTTTCAGTTCCCTTTTCTGGAATACTGAGAGACTCCAATACTTGCTGTAACACTTCCTGGAGCAGGTCCCAGAAGTGTGAGCCTATAGTTGTGCTAAATTTAAACTTTAAAAATCTCATGAGATTGTCAACCCATTGAAGGAGAAACCAATAGCAAGCTCCTCCCCACCGCCCCCCCATGTATTATGAAGGTACCTCTGAAAGGAAGCACAGGGCAGAAGAGGGTCCTTGGAGTTCAGGTCATCACCTGTACGTAGAGGCAGTCAGAGCATATGGCTGATGCTAGAGCCCGCAGGAACTGGACAGCCCTACCCACACGCTGCCCCTAAACGCTGGGAACACAGCTTTAGACAGCAGCCAAGGCTGGGGCTGGCTTGTGATTAACTGTTGTGCCAAGATCTGTCTCTGGCCACCAGGCACTAGATAAAACATGAAGATATTTCAGCACAACTTAGATGCCTTACGCATCTACAGCATATCTACCTGTTCCTCTCCCCTACCTCAAGGCAATGCTTAGACCCCCACAAACAACTTTAAAAATCCTCTCCAATCACAGGAGCACAAAGCTTTTCCGTCATCCACATAGCCACACCAGAAGACAGTCTCCATATTGGCACATAGCTGGCTTCCTTGCTCCTCACTGTGTCCCCACTGTGCAGCATTAATTAGTACCCCTTAATATCTGCAGAATAGATGATTATTTCTAAGTTGATAGTTCCTGATTGTTAAGAGTCAGAATATACATTAATCTAGGAGCTGGTCTGGTGACATAGCAGTTAAGTTCACGTGCTCCGCTTTGGCGGTCGGAGGTTCACTGGTTTGGATCCCAGGTGCAGACCTACGCATAACTCATCAAGCCATGCTGTGGCAAGCGTCTCACATATAAAGTGGAGGAAGATGGGCAAGGATGTTAGCTCATGGCCAATCTTCCTCAGCAAAAAGAGGAGGATTCGTGGCAGATGTTAGCTCAGGGCTAATCTTCCTCAAAAAAAAAAAAAAAAGAATATACATTAATCTATAAGTTCATCAAACATCTATTAAGTGCTTTGCATAGTGTGAGCATAGACATTATGCAGGAACCAAGAGATAATTCCAACTTAGACCCTGCCCCCTAAGAAATTACATTAGCTAACACCTGTGAAGACTTTATGCCAAAACTTACAATCTCACTCTTCTCCCACCCCCACTCCCCTCCCCAAATCTCTTCATTTTCCTGTATACCCCATTTTGGGACATGGCCTGGAGGCAACCACTCACTCAGTCACCTACAAAAGCAATATTAATCATCATTATTAGAGATGACATTTATTGAGGGTTTATTACATGCCAGCCTAGCAATACTATGAATTTTGTACTATTATTTGTCCTGTTTTACAGAAATGTGGATATCATCGCAGACCCATGCCTCGCTCTCCAACTCTCTACATTTAACCAGCCTTGAGGTCCATTGCACATCAAAAATGTCTTCCCCTCCTGCCTTGGTCATCACTCCTGTGATCCACCAAACCTTAGTCACTATTCTTGCTTGAACTATTAGAGTCGCCTTCTAAGTGGTCTTCTGGCTGATTGACAACCTATTCACCCTCAAATCATCCAAAAGAGAAACAGCAGAGCAACCCCTCTGCCCTGCACAACTGACCATGTCTCCCACCCCCATTCAAACCCTCTCTTGCTTCCTTGGTGCCCAGGAGCCTTTGAGACGAGGGAAGGCTGCCCAGAGAGTGATGGCCGCCCAAGCTCCACAGAATAACTTTTTTCCCAGCCTCTTTGCAGACAGACTGCCCTGAACTTCAAAATGATCCTGCACCACCTCCTCCTCCAGGAGCCTTCCCTGACCGCAATCCCCCACCCAAGGTTTCCTCCTGTGCCCCTCTTTGATGTTGGCTTAGCCCTTCCAACAGAACATGGCCCCAGTCTACTTGTTGACCCTTGACTCTGAGATCCTGGACAGGCGGGTCTGCACGCTGCTTCCTCCACACCTGGCACATTGCCTGGCAAGGTCAAGAAGCCTGTTCTTTCAGCACAATGCCTTGCTTCCCATAGCCTGTGCCTTTATTTTTCACTGAATAACGCTTTACAAAAATGTTAGAGTCATACAACACTCTCTTTCCTTTTTCCTCATAGCTTTAAAATACATTGATATTTCAAGAAATACATTTATACTTTCCTCCTACCAAAAAGAAGGCTCTCATTTTTTCGGATGAACAAACTGAGGCTTTGAGAGATCAAGTGACTTGCCCAAGGTCACACTACGAATGAGGGACAAAGCTGAGGCTGGAACCCTGATCACACAGCTCCCAGCTCAGCAGCTTTCTCACCTGCCCCCGCCTCAGTCCAAGGCCATGTATTAAAATAAATAAATAAATAAATAAAAGAATGTATACATATATATGTGTCTATATCTATATACATATATGTATTTATACACATACACAAACGTATAATATGAATATATACACACATATATATGAATATGAATGTATCTCGTGTTACAGAAAGGGGTGGGGACCCTGAGAGCTTGGAAGGCGGAGAGGTTCCCCCCAAGAGGGGGCCGAGCAGCGTCGCAGCAGTGGCAGCAGCACAACAGACAGCTGGTGTTTGGGTGGTAGTAAATCACCCTGAAATGAGCCTCTTCCGTGGACTCAATGAGGCCCCCACAACAAAGGGAGGCCCAGCTTGCAGCCGGACAGCCTGCCCGCCAGCTCCAGACGCGCATAACAGCTTCATTCAGGAGCCCCACGTCCACACAAAGGCCCCGAAATCAATCCGACATCCCGCCACCCTGGACAATGCCCCGAATCTTCTCAGAATCGAAGGCTCAAACGAGGGGACAGCATTCAGGGGAGATCAAACTGCCGGCCTGCCACTGAAAGCGAGCACGAAGAAAACATTTTTTTTTTTTTTAAAGAGGAGGCTTGGGGGCGGCAGGAGGCCGCCCGCGCCCGTTGCGCGCGGTGGCCGTTCTCCGGCTCACACGCCGGCCACACTCAGCCCAAGGCTGTGTTAGGCCCAGCTTTGAGCAGTCGTCGCGCCGGTGCTGCCGCAAGGGACGGAGTGCGCGACATTCGCCAGCAAGGGCCACTGTGCCGCTTGGCCTGGGAGCTTTGTGCAGCCGTGGCCCGTGTGAACCTCTACCGGCGGCCTTTCCCACTGGCTCCAGCGCGTACAGTACAGTAGGGCGCACACACATGCAAATGCCCGCCTGAGGGAGGCGGCGGCTTAGGGTGTTGACAGTGGCAGCCCCCACGCCAGGCCAGGGAGCCCCTGTTCCCAGGCAGGGCCCCTCGGGGTACTCATCTGCCCCATTCTGCTGCCTAATCCGGTTATCAGCTGCAGAACGGGTTGCCTGGTGGAGCTGGGGAGGCTCCTGCAGGGAAGGGGGGCAGGCTGCCGCTCCAGCACATGAGCCTGGCTAGTATTCTTTCCCAGTGTCATTGTTACCGCTCCTAGGTCTTTCCCAGTCCCCCTAAGATCGCAGCACTGCACTGGGCCACAGCCTTCCCTGGATGGTAGGAATGGACCTGCTCCTGGGGAGAAGGGCCCCCCAGCAATGGCAGAGTGAAAGGAGCCTAGGGTAACAGTGTATTTGATCTGTGGGAATGTGTGCACTGAGTGAGCAAGGCATGGTCCATTCTATGTGCCTTGGCCAGAATCTCTCCAGAAATTCCAGCCAATGTTGCCTTAAATTTGACATTTTAGGTGGCCACCAGGAAGGTTAAATAAATTTTGATTGGAAACAAAGGGCTTCTGCTTGAGGGCCATTCATCGTGGTCTCTACGGTCTGATGTCCGCCATCCTGCCTGGACTTTTCCATATCAGCACTGGGAGTGGACAGGGTCAGCAGGCCGAGGTGTGGTTACGTAGGTAGCTGCCTGAGGAGAGAGCTGAATCAACTGAAAAGGTGCATTGAACCAACGAGAAGGCTCAGAGTAGAAGCAAGAACTAGGTTAATGGGGACCAGGCTTCCTCCGCCCCTTATTTTAGCCCCAGACACCTCTATTTTTTCTCTCCCTAAATTACTGGCCAAGCTTCTTCCTGGAATTGATAAACAAACAGACAGCCATTGACCGTGTTACATAAGAAATCCTGCCCGCCTCCTCTGCCCCTGTCAGACCATCCTGCAGAGCCAAACCCCTGGGAAACGGCAACGTGAAGAGTTGGTGTGAGGGGGGCTGACAGGGGAAGGGGCTGAACCTGCGAGATGCGAAAAGGGCACTTTCTGCTTTAGAGTCACCTCATTCTCAACTGCTTCCACTGGCCAACAAGAGTAAATTGAATCCAATTTCCCCCTTGGAAGGGTCAGTTGTTGTTGTGGTTTTTTTTACCCTTCTCCTTTCCATTTTCTGCCTTTGTAGCTCACCTCCTCCAATCTACTTCCCTACAGGAGCTGAAATTAAACAAGCTCCCCATATGCCATGCCTCACTTGTTGTCTGTTCCCCTCACTGCCATCTGGCCTATTTGCTCAGCCAAAAAGAGAAAGAGAGAGAGAGAAAGAGAAAGAGAGAGAGAGAGAGAGAGCAGGGGGGTTGGGGGAGGAAGAGGGGAAGGGAAAACAAGGAAGCAGGGGGAGGGGAGGGAGCAGGGAGAGAGAGGGAGAAAAATAAGGGAGGGAGGGAGAGAGAGAGAGAGTGAGAAGGAAGGAGGGAGAGCCAGACACAATGAGGAGGCAGGGGTGATGACGCAGCCTCTCCCATCTGCTCCTTGGCCAGAGTCCCGGATGGAGCAGTAATGGAGAGCAACAGAACCAGTGATAATTAACCCAAACACAGACCTGTTTATTTAACCTGCTCAGATAGATCAACTCCGAGGCGGCGCTCTAGCAGAGGGCCCTGGGACACACTTAGGGAGACACCCTGGAGACTGCTCAGGACACAGCAGCATGCTGGCCCTCCCCACAGACATCCTGGGGCTAGTGTGCGCTCGGTGAGCAGGAAAGAAGAGGAGAGAGGAGTTGCTGAAAGAAGTCACTGACACCCACTCAAATCTCCTGGTAAGGGACTCTTGTCATCTTGCCCTTTCCCCTACCCATTATCCTGTTTCAAGGCAATAACTGCTTCTGGATGGCCAAATATCGCAAAGCAAAGCTAGTCAATGACATACAATTGTCTCGTGCATCTTCCTGCCCCAGTGTCCCCTCTGGACCATTCTCCAACTTGGCATGAAACCCAGGACCCGGAGACAAAAAATGAGCTAACTAAACAACACAGAGACTGGAGCTAAATCACCTGAAGACCTTGGACTAATATGGTCAGCGGCCAGGGACAAAAGCCGATGGATGGCATTGATTAAGGCATTAGGTGAAAGAAGCCTGTGGTTCAAGGCCTAGATCAGCCACTTTTGCTGCGTCACTGTGTCCGAATACCTTCTCCCTCAGCTTCAATTTCTCTACTTAATGGGGCAGCAAAACTGACCTTCCAAGATGTTTCAGTCGGCAAAAATTAAAATGGAAAAGGTCACTGTCACTGATCCAGACTTTCTTCCTCAAGTTTGGGAGGAGACTACAAGCTTTGAGCAAGACCACCAAGGACTATGACCTGTTTGAAACAGGTAATGTTCGGTGCCCAGAGAGAGGGGTCCACATATGCATTCATGTGAGCTGCACCCTGCTCCATCTCTACCCTTGCAGGCCCCAGAAATAAAGGGCAAGAACATTTCCAGGGCTGAATAGCAGCAGACAGGCGTTGTGAGTCTGGGAACTGGAACCCAAGGAAGCTCTTGGCTGAGCAGTGAGGGTTAGCGAAAGAGTGCACTAGCTGGGTTGAAAATAGGAAGCGTCAGGGGTGGGTGAGGAGTTGGCAGGCACCGGATTCCAAGTGGCTTCACGCTCCTCAGTGGAAGAAATGCAGAGATAATTTGAACATGGCTATTTTCAAGCTCCACAGCTGAGCTCCTTGCTCTCCCACCCCACACCTCCCACCCAGCCCTGCAATTTGGCAAACCCTTTCTGCTGGCTGCTCTTATACCCAATATGTTGGGTTGCCTTAGCAACTAAGGCAATTATCTCCTTGGAGCAGTTAAAACAATGACCGTCATAAATAATAACAATAAGAAGAACGATGGTAAAAAAATAGATCTTAGGCTTCCAGGGTCATGGGTTGGCGTAGAACTGAAAAGGAAAAGAGGTCCTGATGGGGCAAGCAGCGAAAGCTGGTCTCTTATGGACCCAGTCTTATTTTACTCATGTAGAGAAAGAGAGAGGAAATACTTAGCCTTTGCTTACTGCCCCACCCCCGACCCGCAGGCAGGCAATCTTAGCGACAGTTCCTATTGTTGTCAGTTTATCCTGCATATCCTCCTATCAGCCAGATCCAGCACAAGCACTGAACACTAATTGTTTAATGCCCATCTCCTCTCTGGACCAAGAACTCCTTACAGGTAGGCACTGGGTCTGTCATTTTGGTGTGTTTAGCTCTTAGTTCAAGGTCAGGCACAGAAGAGGTACTCAAAGATATTCACTGATTGAATGAAAATAATAAATTACAATGAATGAATGCCCAATTTTTGCTGAAAGGTTTTTTTTTTTTCCTTTGGAAAAAACTCTCTGGGCCAGATAGTTTTGAAGTCACTTCAATCTCTAACATTCTGTAATCTTACAATCTACTAGCCTACAGTCCAAGATGCAGTAGGCTCCCCATTTACAAGAATATAAAGAAAACAAAATGTAAGTTCAAATCTTTTCAAGTACAAGTTTCTTTTCCCTACAGAGCCATCCAATAACATTTTGTGAATATAGTTCGTCACTTGAGGTAAAACACCCAAATAAAAACAATTAAAAATGAGAATGAAACTGATAATGGATCATACAACTTGTGCTCACCCTCCCCAAACATTTATGCCTTCCAGCCTACACTCCACAAACTCCATCCCATGGATGATGTTCTACTAATCAATGAAACATCAATTAATGTGTAGGACGTGTGACTCAAAACAAAAGACAATCTATCCCTTCCCAGTTTCTATGAGAGATGTGGTCAAAAAAAAAAAAAACAACACAGGATCAGAGAGTTGAACTGGATCATCTCACCTCGACCTTTCCCTTTTGGTTCCACTTTCTTTTGAAGTGGTGGAAATTCAATACTTGACACTTTCAAAGTACATTCACATTATACGTGGTATTTATAATAATTCTTGAGATAAGCTGGGCACCTATCATTATTTCCAACCCAAGCATGAGGAAATGAAGTAATTGATCACAAGTATTAAACCCTGGCAGCCCTCACCTCTCCTAATACCAGCTTTCTTGCTGTTTCCTTTCCTGGTGTAATGGCCACAGTGTGTAATGTGTAATGGGTCCATTAGTGTAAAGGTGAAACGTACCTTTCTAACATAACCCTTCTAAGCTGTCAGCAGAGCACAAAGCATATGCCTGTTCTCATTTCGAAATGCCAAAAGGAGTTGATGTAACTCTATCATTGAATCCTTGGAGCCATACTGGCCACAATCCCCACTCGAGAATAATAACCAAAATTTCAGCACTTCTAGACTCAAAGCCAGCAAAACCTGTGAATGCTTAATCTTGGCAAGTCTTTTGGGATGGTTCTCTGCCAGGGATTGGGAAGATGAGGTCCAGGGAATTGTGACAACTCTCAGTAAACAGGACTACCTCATCCTCTGGCATTCCAGAGCAACTAGAGGCAGACTTCCTATTTTTCTGACTAAAGTCTATTCTTCAGACTCTCTATTCTTCTGATGGTTGTGGAAGGTCACAGGGCAACTCCCCGACTCCCCATGTGTGCACCTGCAACTCCACGAGAGTCAAGTCTTTGCCCGGTAACTGGAATCGCTCCTACCTGGAGTTCAGACACCTGCCAAGATATAGAGTGTACTTACTGGACTATAACCTAGTATGCTGGCTTTGTGAATTTCATAAACACACTGCCAAGCTCTTCTGTATCCTTTACGCATTCGATTAAAGCAGCATCGGCAAATTATCGTTTTCACATTTCCTTCAAACATGAAGGACCTGAATCCAAATTCAGATATCACTGACAATGGAAAGCAGATTTTTCAGAACCTCTGATGAATAAAAATATTTAGTCAGAAGCTTTTACAAATACACAAATGGCTTATTATTAAAACATATCTTAAAAGTGTTATGACTCCAATAGTTCTACAAATTATAGCAAATTTGATTGAACAGAAAGCAATTATTATCATTTCCAAGTATAAAGGATTGTGATTGGCAGAGTAGTCACAGATCAAGGAGGTAACAGCAAGGTAAGATTGCTTTTTAATGTTTCATTAATCTAAGTTATCATCACTTCACTAAAATAAGGTGTGGTAAGTAGAATAATGAATGGTCCTCCAAAGATTTCCCATGCCCTCATCCCTGGAACCTGAGAATATGGTTTGTTACCTGGCAGAGGGCAATTAACATTGCAGGTGGAATTAAGGTTGCTAATCAGCTGACCTTAAAACAGGGAACGTGTCCTGGATGAACCAGGTGAGCTCAATGTATTCCCTAGCCTCCTTAAAAGTGGAAGAAACAGCAGAAAAGAACCAGGGAGATGGCAGTGTGAAAAGGACTCATCCTGATGTTGCCCGCTTTGAAGATAGAAGAATGGGGCCATTAGCCAAGAAATGCTGGCAGCTTCTAGAAAGTGAAAAGAAAAGGAAAAAAATCCCCGCCCCCCAGAATCTTCAGAAGGAATGCAGCTCTGCCCAACACCTTGATTTCAGCCCAGTGAAACCCATTTCAGACTTCTGACCTCTAGAACTGTAAGATAATACATTTGTATTGTTTTAAGCCACTAAGCCAATTCGATACAGCAGCCATAGGAAACTAATACACAAGGTGTGACTGTGCACGTGTGTGTGTGTGTGTATCCATGTACGTTCTTCTTAAAAACACAAATATTTCTAAAAAATGTGAAAATCTGCCCTCTTATGGTTTCAGGAAAATAAAATCAAGTAAAATGGAGATGACGTCATAATTTCCCTCTCAGGACTATGAAGATTCAGAAGCATTTTAATGTTAATAAAGATCTCTGGCACCATAGATACTAGGACAGAATTGCAAAGAGTGAGTGGAAAGGGATTTCAACACAGGCCACATATGACTACAGAGAGAATGTCACTCTCCAAACAATGACAATTGGACTACTAAGTGCCACTGGAGACCTTAGTGACTGAGCCTCCTGAAGAGGAATGCAGCCAGTGCAGGGCACCCCAGCCCCCAGCTTCATTAGCAGTTTACATGGCAAGTTCTTAGGGACTGTAGGTGCCAGGTTCTCAAAGGAGGAAGAGAAAGGGCATGAGCACATGAGCATGTGGAGTTGTGTGTGCTTCTGGATATGGAGATACCCAACAAACAGGCCTGAAAAAAGACGACTCAAAAATGGTGGACAATGGGGTTGATACTATCAAAATAGCCATGGCAGGTAATTAATTCAATTGTGGGTTGTACATAGCAAAAAGTGCAACCTCTCTTTCTCCCCTGACATCAGTTTGGCCCCATGCTGATGCAATTTCAAATCAGCTGAAAGTCACCCCATCAGAGTCTGAGGCTGGAAAGGCCCTCATGGTCATCTAACAA